AGCCCAATGTGGGGCCCTATCCCAGGACCCTGACACCACGACCTGAGCCGAAGGCAGAGGCCTTAACCCACTGAGCCACCCAGGCCCCCCAACATCTCAATTTTAAAAGATCGTGAGATTGGGAAAAAATCAAGACCCAATGATATGATTTCTGCTATAACATGCTTAAACATAAAGATGCAGATAGGCTACAAATAAAGTGATACGGAAAGATATGCTTTGCTTATATAAGTGAGAGGAAATTTGGCTATGTAGTGAACAGAAAAACAGACACCAGAGCAAAGAATATTAGCGGGGCTAAAGAGAATACTTTCATGCCGATTTAGGGGTCAGTTTATCAAGAGAATATAACAGTCCTAAATGTCTTTGCACCTAATAACAAAGCTTCAAAATATGTGGATGAAAAACTGATAGGACTTCAGGGAAAAATAGACAAATACAAAATTATGGTTGGAGATTTTAAGACCTCTCAGAAATTGATAGAACAAGTAAACAGAAAATCACTGAGGCTATAGAAGACGAAGGAGACTGTTAGCCAACTTGGCCTGAGATTGGTTTATAGAACACTGCCCTACAATAGCAGCGTGCTTACGCATTCAAGTAAATGTCAAACATTTACCAAAATAGACCATATCCTGAGCCATGAAAAGTCTTGACTAAGAATTAAAATTGTACAAAGCAGCTTTTCTGACTACATGGAATTATATTAGAAATCACTAGCAGAAAACCATACACATGAGGAAACTGTACCACATGTGAAACAGCTCATGAACCAAAGAAGAAATCCAGAGGGTGGTTGGGAAGTATTTTGGACCTAATGATAATGAAAACACAGCGTCTCAGCGTTTGCAGACTGCTGCCAACGCGCCGTGTGGAGATACTCTAGCACTAACCACCTCTTTATGCAAGAGAAGGGCTGAATGACTTTGCTTCCACCATGAGAAGGAGCCAGTTATACCCAAAGTAACCCCCCAAAAGTAAATAATATCATAAAAACAAAAATCAACAAAACAAACATTTTTTAAATATGGAAAATCCGTAAGACCAAAAGTTGATTTTTTTTTTCTTTAAAGTAGGCTCCACACCCAATGTGGGGCCAGCACGGGGCTTGAACTCACAGCCCTGAGATCATGACCTGAGAGCCACCCAGGTGCCCCAACTTCTATACAGTTCTAGAAGCTGCATAGTAATGGAGAGACACAGAACTCAGTCCAGTGGTTACCTGTGAGTGGGGGTAGGAAGAGACCGGGGTGAGGAGGAAGTGGGTACAGAGGGGCACAAGGAAACTCGGAGGGCAAGTTACTGTGGTTTCACAGGTGTGTGTGTGTGTATATGTCAGGACTGTTCTGATTGCGTTCTTCAGATATGTTCAGCTTCTTGTACCTGGTCATACTTCAGTACACCTGTAAATCTTTTAAAAGAATCAGTGGTGTTTATATTTGTACCTCCCATTTAATCACAGATTGGAGAGTAACCACACGGTGAGGCACAGGTATTTGGTTAATTTGAATTTTAGTCACGTATGTTTCTTGTAGTACTCTGTACTTTCTTCGTCTGAAGAAGGTGTGGGGAGTAGAGGTTGCCACCCTTGAGAAGACCAGCTTCATACTTGGGCGCACTGGTCAAGCGTTAAAGTTCTGACTTTGGTTCAGGATGTTGTCCGCCCTCTCTCCTTGGATCATCTGGTCTAGCTTCAAGCTTTGCATACCACCTGCGCTGGTGATCCCGAATCATACGTCCCGCTGGGACTTGTTCCTCGAGTGTCTCACTTGTGCAGAACAAGCCTACCACATTGCTTGGTTGTTTGATACAAACTTCGTGCATACAACATCTAAAGCAAAGCCTTGGTTCTTCCCACTGGCCCCACCTGTCTGGCTGTGTCTGGCACCCCTGCCCGCTGCCCGGGAGGTTGGACCTGTCCTCATCACGTCCTTGGGTCCGTTGGCAGGCGAGCCCTGTGGCTGTGCCTGCAGCACTCCTGAGTCTGTCCGCTCTGTTCCTGCATGGCCCTGCTTGTGCCTGGACCTGCTGGGAGCTGCCTTCCCTCTGCCAGAGTTCATTTTTGACATAGTCAAGTTTCTTTTTAAGATGCCAGCTGGCTCATACCTGCCCTTCCACGAACACTTAGGTCTCTCTCCCTGGCTCCCAGCCCCGGTGAGCAGTCCCCGCTGCTCCGCCCTCCGGAGCAGTGCCCCCGGCTTCTGTTTTGGGCCTTTAGCGAGCACACGGCCGTGGCCTCTGCTAGCAGTGCTCCTCTCCCAGATCTGCACACGGCTTCATCTGATTCTGTTTGGCCTTAGCTTCTGGGCCTCAGCTTCGCCTCATCCTTGTTGAAACGATGGCCTCGTGGCTCTGTTCTGTACCCCCATTGGATGGCGGGGCTTCTGTCTGAGTTTGCCTGTCTGATGTGTCTCTGGAGCCAGCAGGCCCTTTGGGCTATTCGCAGTTGCTTTTGTGATCTAACCTGTCAGGATGCCTGGCACAGCATGTATTCCAAATGTTTATGGCAGAGGGCTTCATCATCTCGGAGCTCTTTCCTGCACTCGGTCCGAGAAAGTCTTGTTTCTGCCTTTCCTCTTTCTCTTGTCCCCAACATCTGCTTCCTTAGCAGTCTTGTCCACTCTCCCTGATCACCTGTTCCCATCTTGTCTCTTCCCCACATATAGCCTCATTGCCCTGGTAGCACTTCTCCCTGCCCCTCTCTGGCCTCCTGCCCCAGGGCCTTTCTGCTTGCTCTCAGGAGTATCCCTCTGCTGGGTACCTGTGTGGCTTCCACCAGCCCCCAGACATCAGGTGTCTCCTTGAGGAAGTTCTCACTAAATGGGCTATCCTAAATGGGAAGGCATTGTTCCCAACCCCAGACACTGCTGCCTGCTCTATATATTTTGCCTTCTGAGTGACCACTGTCTAATGTTTGGTATTTTTACCTTATCTGTCTTTTATTTGTAGTCTTTGTCTTTGACAGTGATATTAGTTCCCTGTGGGCAAGTAACTTTTAGTTATTGCTGTGTCCCCAGTACCTGGACGAGTGCCTTGGCACATGGTATCTCCCAGTAAATACTGGACAGACAGGCTGACCAGTGGGTAGATGGACAGATGATCTGGGGTTGAACTGGTTACCTCAGGTCAGGTGTGGCTCTTCTGATCTCTGGCTGGGAGACTTCATAGCCTTAAAGCCCAGCAGCTCCTTCTCTGAGTAAAAAGGTGGACTAGAAAGATCTGAAGGCTGTGGCTATTCTATTGATGTTGGGGCTTTTTTTTTTTCCCTAGGCTGAGGGACAAGAGATGGTTTTACATAGGGTTGATTTTGGAAATCAACATAGCATAAATCAATTTGTAAATCAATTATATAGGGTGATTTTGGAAATTGTCTAATTTCTGCATCTTGGATCTGGACAGAAGAAGACCTCCCCTCTCATGGTATGCCGTGGTTGGAGGGGTAGTCTGGAGCTTTCTAGAATACTACTTATTGGGATATAGTACTCGGTTCCCTTGCCTCACAGCCCAGACATTCGAGTGGCTTCTGAGCTGGGTTTGGTTAAATCCACGGAAGCTGCAGATATGACAGGTGTAAGCAGTTTTGGTCCTTGGATTATAAAAGCAGGTAAAAACATATGTGCAAGTCTTAGTGGTGCCGTTTTTTTGCTCTTTTAGTTAACTCGTTCGTTCATTTATTCATTCAGCCCCACTGTGTAAGCACCTGACTGCCTGCCAGCCATCCTGGGCTTTAGAGACGGAGCCTGTGGCTTTTGAGAGTACTCACTCGGCTGTGGAGCTGGTCATGGAAGGGCACACTTGGAAGTCCAGCTAACCAGCACAGCAAAAGACCTGTGTGGCCCTTGGTGCAGGAAAACAGGGAGAGAGCTGTGGGTCGAGGAAACAGCTGGGCTGCTGGCTGGGCAGGGTTGGGTAAGGTATTAGGGGAGCCTTTGGGTGGAACTGGAGACTTTAGAAAATACTTTGAGGTTCTAGCCTGAATAACCTTGGCATTGGTCCTGGTCCCCCTTTGCACCCCCTGTGTCCCGTGGCTGGGAATGGCAACAGAGGCCTGGGGGAATTCTCTTACCTTGATCCCAACCTGTGCTCTGGCTTGGAACCTTGGCAGAGTTGTGCCTGCCTCTGGAAGGCCATGCCTGGCTTCCTGCTCACCTGCTGCCCAGGTGAACCTCTCTTGAACCTCTCTTCAGGATTTGCAGGGTGGTTCCTCTGTGCAAATGATCCATCTTGGGCTCACACTGATTTTGATTAAAGTCTTGGCCCCTGCTTGCTGACCTTGTGACTCCGGGCCTGTTTTAAATCTGTGAGACTTGTTTGTGTGTTTTTAAGGCTAGTTTTCCTTTTCTGATAGGGTGATTGATAATCTTTTGAAGAGAATCTAGGGTAATGATCTTGCCTCTTACCTATATGAAAAAGCAGACATTGAAATTGGGTAGCTGGAGATGAAGTGAGCAGAGCTGTTGCTGAGCTGGCGGGGAGGCCGGGTCTTGGATGTGTGGTGCTGCTGGACTGCTGATGTTTAGCTTCCTTCTGGAACTGGAACACCACCTCTGACATGGTTGGGATCTGCACACATACACTTAAGCCAGAATACCTGCCTTGGGTGTGAGCCCTCGTGTGCACACACCTCTGGAATAGTGGCTTTAAACTCTGCCAAGAGTCCTGGAGTCATGTGAAGACAGAGATGGATCCTTCTCAGGAGGGAGAGTAATACAGATGTTTGGGCGAAGGGGCTAATTGGACAGTTTTGTAACTCTTACTAAGATGTTTTTTATGGTCTTTTTCTTCAAAGTTTTATGAGTTTTTAGTTTACTGGATATAATTTTATTTAACAAATTCCCTATTGTTAAAAAAAAAAAACAAAAAACCCCCCAAATTCCCTATTGTTTATGTAAACATACATGTACATAGTAGGTTTAAAACTGTATTGTATTTTTAAGTGTGATCTTGGCTTTGTGGATCACGTTTTGAAAATAGAAACTTTTTTTTTTTTTCTATTCCAGACTCCTTTTAATTTTGGCATGAATCATAGAACACCACCGTATCCTGCCGGGGATTATTGTCTTCTGTGCAGAAGTGAGCGGAAGGACTCTTCATTCTTAGAGAGTGGAATTAAGACTGCGAGCAAATTGGCCCTCTCCATGGCTCCCAAGGGCAACAGCGTGCTGCACCTGCCCCTGTGGGTGTGCCCGGACTGCCGGCGGACTGTGGAGAAGGAGGAGCGGCACAGCAGCCTTGACCAGCCGTCGGTGAGTGCCCAGCCCAGTGTGCATGGGCTTGTCAGCTTTCTTACCCTGTGAATTACAGAGCTCAGTGGACAGTGAAATAAATAATCGGGGTTAGCATTCTGGAAAGAAACCCCTCTTACTGCATCTTCTGGTCCCTTGCTCTACCCTCTGGGGTTTTCCTCGTCTTCGTCTATACCTGTGGGAAGTAGGAGGGGACCTGCCCTCCTTGGTCTCACAACTTGGTCAACAAGCTTAGGGGGCCCAAAGGATGTGTTTTGGCTTTTTTTCATCTGGCCTCAATGTGTCTTTGGCAATGCACTTTGCTGGAAAAAGCTCAGAAGCTGTTACAGTGTTTGGTTCTGGTCCGTCCCATGTGCTGGTAACTCACCTGAAATTTTTTTTTGGACATGGTTCTCAAGTCTGGATTTCCCCACCCTGTTTTTTCTTGATTTCTTGCCTCAGCTGAATGGAGTCATTCTTGAGGTGTTCAGGCTTATATGGGAAGGCCATAGCCTTAGTCTTCTCTTTGGCCCAGACGTGTGTTTCGGGCTATGTGCCTGAAAGGGCTTTGAGTCTGCTCTTTCGGTTCTCGAAGGACTTGGCTTTTGCAAGCATGTGAGACCCCACATTCTAGGGCTTTTCTCTTCCTTTTATTTCTGCCTGTGGGCAGCTGTTTTCTGAGCTCTTCTAACATGTCCCTGCACGTCGCCGCCAATACCAGCGCCCGCCGGCAGCACACACTCTCGTGTCCCAGGCCTGCTGTCCAGGTCCGTGTGGTGCCCGGGCCACTCCCTGGGCGCTGCTGCACGCTGTGAGTCGACCTCGTCTCCGGTCTCCCCAGCCTCCCTCCTGCCAGCTGCTGCGCCGGGGACCTCTGATCTAGGGCTTCCTAGAAGGCAGTGCCCAACCACGAGTCCGCGCTGGGATGTGAACAGCTAAACCTCGAGACTGCATCGTTTATGGGGATAAAAATGTACTTCTCACCCCACCTCCCCCGGTGTGCCTCCTTCCCCTGCGTATTCTCCTCAGCACAGTCAACTTCTTCATTTTGCTCGTGCCCTTCACTGGCCTAGACACCCCACAAGGGCAGCGGGTTTTGTGTGTTTTCTAGCCAGGAGCCATGCCCAGCCCGGCCTGTTCTAGGAAGCGCGGTCTCTGAGTGAACGAACAAGCATGGAAGGGAAGAAACCTCGGAGCCCCTCAGCAGGGTTAAGAAGATGGTGTCATCAGTCTTAGTGGTTCTCCCTCGGGTCTTCTTGCTTTTACTGCTGTATTGTTTTACTTAGTTTCCTTTCCGGGGCCTCCGAAAGCATGACCTTAGCTGGGCTGTTCCTGGAGGGTGGTGGTGCAGCGGTGCTGGCCAGTGTGCGTGTGCGTGCTCCGCCGCCGGGCTTGTCTCCTCCGTGCGTCCCTGCTGCGCCCTTGTAGCCTGGCCGGCGCAGGCAGGAAGGGCGGCCAGTGGAAACAGCTATGATCTGCTGGAAGTTGTCCTTGTCAGACGAGGCTTTCTCTCACCAAAAAAGTGACTCTGGGCGCCCATGTTTGCAGACTTAGACCTTCTGCTACTTTTGTAAAGTTGGTGCCTTTGGTCAAGCTGGCTAAAATTGGTGGCCTTTTTAAAAAAATTGAGATATAATTTATATCTAGTAAAATTCTTTTTAAGTGTGTATATATAGTTCAGTGAGTTCTGACAAATTTTACAGTTGTGTAACCACCACTACTTCAGTTATGATGTAGAATATTTTCATCACCCCAGAAGTTCCCCCCGTCACATTGGTAACAACACACCCCCCCCCCCCCCTGGCTGGTAACCACTGAATTGATTCTGTCCCGTGGTTTTGCTTTCTCTCAGTGTCACATAGATGCCTTCAGGCGGGTGTGATGCTATTGGGCTGTGAGCCATGCTTCGGTCGCTTGTTCTCTCCGTGGCTGGATCAGTTGTAGAGATGCACCCACTTTGTTGATCCATTCGCCGCAGAAAGGTGTTTGCGCTGTTTACAGATTCGGGTTTTGCATGAAGCTGTGTGAAGCTTGTACAGGTCCTTCTCTGCACATTCTTTCTACATGTTGCGGGTGATGTGCTTTTGTTGGTCAAGGACTTTTCGTCTGTGCTCATGAAGGATATTTGCCTGCCGTCGTCTTGTCTTTACTGTCCTGAGAGGAGTTGAGATGTACTCCTGCTTCCTCTCTTTTTTGGAAGAGTTCGTGCAGAATTGTCATTAGTCCTTCCTAACGCGTTGCTGGTTCTTGGTTTCTGTTTTTCCCAGACAGTGGAAGGCCGAGCCGTGCATGGAAGAGACCATGGGGGGCGGGGTCCTGGTTATTCAGCCGTCACCCACACCTTGCACCTGGGGGACCAGCTCACTTTGGCCACACTGGAGCTGGCCTGGCTTTGCTCTTGTTGCCACACACGCTCGCTTCTCTGGTGGCATGTGCTGAGCCCTGCTGCTTATGTGGGCCAGGAAGGGGTCGCCCTGCACATGCTGGTCCCCTTCGTGTGGCGCTGGGCCTCCCACCGTGGTGTTTTCCCCGCCCGGCCCCCCGCCCCATTCAGCCCAAACCTGGGGCAGCCTGGTGCCTGGGACATCAGGTGCAGCTCTCCCAGTGACCGCCCCCCCAAAACCCCAGGCCTGATGTAAGCCAGAGTCTGCCAGTATCTCTAGGGGTCTTGGGTGGGACACACCCCCTCTGCCTCCCCAGGGTGGCTGACCTGTGGCTTTTTTTTTTTTTTTTGAAGATTTTTTATTTTATTTTATTTTATTTATTTCTTTGACACAGAGATCACAAGTAGGCAGAGAGGCAGACAGAGAGAGAGGGGAAAGCAGGCTCCCCACTGCACAGAGAGCCCGATGCGGGTCGATCCCAGGACCCCGATATCATGAACTGAGCCGAAGGCAGAGGCTTTAACCCATTGAGCCACCCACGCACCCCTGACCTGTGGCTTTCTGCCATGGGGGATAGCTTGGTTCCCTCCTGAAGTGGATCAGGCCTATGCCTCAGCGGGGAGGGCATCTGCTGCCCCCACAGCAAGAGTCTTCCTCCCAGAGAGGGGTGGGGCCCAGCAAGGTTGCAGTGGCCACACTCAGCCTTGAAGGGCTCTTGACAAGCGTTGTCATTCTCTGACGCACCTCAGAGGCTGCGTTCCGTTGTCTGCCGAAGGTGAAGTGGCCCGTGTGTCCCCTTGTCAGCAGAGGGGCTCTGTGCGCTTGTCTGGCTCTCGTGGTCGCCTGAGCTCTCTGGTGGGCCCGGCGTTGGGAGTTTCTTATTGTCAGGGTGGGAGCTCCGAGTTACAAAGTGGGAGTGGAACGGAACTGCTCTTTTCTAGGTAAGCAGGCAGTTACCACAGGTTGTGGTAGATTATCAGTGAGATTTTGCCCGGTGCCCTACCTTTACAGTGCCACACTGCGGACTTCCTCCACTCCCAGACCTTGACATCCGGGCCTCTGTCTTCCTTCAGACACACTCCGTTCACACTGGCAGGGCCTTCTGATTGCACTGTTGTCCTAGAACAGCCAGAGGTCCAGGACTCCGTCCCCATCCCTTGCTTGCAAAGCCCTGGGATTCCTTTGCCTGGGACCTGGCTCAGCACTGCCCCTCCCTCCAGTGGGTGGTGTGTTGCTGGGGACACCACAGGCCTAGGCTCCCCAGTGCACGCTGACATTGTGGTTCCTGGTTGTGGGTGGGCATTTGGCGTGTTGCTCTGGCTTCAGACCTGACTGCAAAAGAGCGCAAACCTTCCCTTCTCCTTTCTTTCCAAACCCCACACACCCTCTTTGCTGTGCACAACTCAGGTGCTGCTAACCTTTACACTCCAGGGCAGGGGTTGAAGCGGACATTCAGACCCTGGCTACCCCTACTTACCCCAGTCTCTGCTACCGCTGCAGCCGGGGGAGGGGCCTCTCCCCTCTCATCTTCTCGGGGGCTTCCCTGCTCAGGTTAGTCTTTTCTTCTTACGCACCACAGATCATGCCCAGGAGTGCGCATATGCTCTAGAATTGTCCATTCTTCAGATACCCACCTCTAATCTCAAGGTTCCTCCCAGCTGTCACCATCTCTCCCACTCCTGTCGTTTGTTTCTCTGGGGAAACAAACTCCTGGTTTGGTTTCTTTCGTGGATAAGAGGTTTTCCATTTCTTTTCCAGTTAGCTTTGGTGAATTATATTCTGAGAAATTGTTAAGAGTTCCTGGTATAAAACTGTGTGGAGGTCCTGTCTTCACTTCTTATCATACTGTATGTACAAATCTTTATCCCTTATATTTGTGCTTTCTCTTTTTGTGAACTGGTCTTGCTAGAAGTCTGTCAGTTTTGTCTTTTCAAAGAAAGGACAAATCTTAAGTTTAGTTAAATTTTTTTTAACTTTTTTTTTTTTTAACTTAAATCTCTCTCCTTTCTGTTTCATTAATTGCTGCTGTTGTATGTGGTGTAGACATGATTAGGCAGTGCTGGGCATGTGTGGTAAGGAAGTGTTCAGCAGCAGAGCTGAAAGCTGAGCAGAGCGGTCCCTCTCTGACTTGTCTTCTACTTGTCCTCTATCTTCCTGAGGCTTCCAGTGTTGGCAGATTCTTGTCCGTTCCTCCAAAAATGTTCTGTTCTGTTTTTTGTGTATTGGAAGGTGGTGATGGCACACAGCACAATATCCTGCATTGTAGACATCTGTCAGTAAGTGAACACCTGGGGTCCTCTCACTTTCTTATCCTTTGAAGAGAGGGGTGTGGATGCCATGGCAAGGTGGGGTGCTTGTTGGTGAGGGGCTGCTGTCCATTTCTAAGCCTCTCTGAGGGCTGTTCACAGGTGTCTGGGGCACCTGCTCTGGGGGACCAACTGCTTCGGGGAATTGCATTCCTTGCTGATCTCACCTGGAGACCTTGTGGGAGGGGACCTGCTTGGGGGCAGGCAGGGAGACAGCCCTGTCCCACTTTCCGGCTTCCAGGCAAAAAGCCCCTGGGCCATCACCACACAGTTCCTGCTGGTTGTGACCACAAATCTGTTTTGTTTTTTTTTTTTCCTTCTTCTTCTTCTT